GAGGGGGGAGAGGAAATGGGAAGAGACGAGGGATGTGGCAGAAGGATAAAACGGTATATGAGAGGAAAGCGGAGTGGGGTATCGGAGGTCGAGAGGGGTTGGCGGAAGGAGGGGAGAGGGGATAAGAGAAGGGAGTACGAGATAAAAGAGAGATACTAATGATCATATAAATAGGGTCGCACCCGTTCTTAAAGAACAAATCGAAGATGGCAAGATTAATTTGGTGGCGATTGTTAATACGCATCAGTGAGTTTTCCGGCAGACATCCATCTCTCCCAGAAGAATTTATACTAACAAACGCAATCCAGTCACTGGGACCACGCAGGTGGTAATAACAAACTAGTACGATTGTCCCCTCAAAACACACCCAAAACGCAATCCAACTAATATCTTTCCCTTCTTCTAGCTCGCTCATCCAGACTTCAAAGGCAAACCCATAATTGGTGGTAAAAACTGTGAGGGGGTTACAAAGACACCGAAAAATGGAGAGGGATTTAAGATTGGAGAGATTGAGGTTAAGGCGCTTTATACGCCGTGTCATACGCAGGATAGTATTTGTTGGTTTATGGAGGATGGAAAGGGGGTGGGGGTGAAGAAGGCAATTTTTACGGGTGATACCTTGTTTCATGGAGGTAGGTTGATCGGTATGAGGGAAACGAAAGAAAGGGGATATGTGATGTCGTGGATATGTTGTTGGTATGGTGAGTGTGGAGCTGACAAAATGCTACAGGATGTGGAAGATTCTTCGAAGGAACAGCCGAGGAAATGCATACGGCGCTTAACAAGACACTTGCAGCTGTTCCGGATGATACATTTGTTTATGTAAGTCACTATTCATTCTCTTCCCCAGACATCGTGGTACACAATTCAATACTAACCATTCAACATAGCCTGGCCACGAATACACCAAAGCCAATGTGAAATTCGCCGTATCTGTTTCGCAAAGCAAAGCAGTAAAGGCATTAGAAGCTTTTGCGGCTAAGAATAAGGAAACGCAGGGCAAGTTTACGATCGGGGACGAGAAGAGGCATAATGTTTTCATGAGGGTGGAAGATCCGGAAATTCAAAAAGCTACGGGCATGACGGATCCGGTGGAGGTTATGGCGAAATTGAGGGAAATGAAAAATAGTTTCAAGTGAGTACCTAGTAAGTATTGATGGCACCTAGTATCTGATCTCTTTGGATACTGCAAGCTGACGACATATATAGAGAACCGGTAGCAAAAATTTGATATTGAGTGATGGCTTTGGAGCAAGCATTGCATGCAGTATAATTAGGTAGGTATGTAAAGTTATATAATCTACAAAAAGCCTCCCGTCTGAAGTTGAAGAAACATTGGCGATTTTGAAAATTTTACCCCTCACTATGAAAGGAGAGAAGGGTCCGAAAGGGTAGAGCACGACAGGAGGGTGGTGTATGTATGTGGTGATTATGACGTAATCTTCCAAGTAATTCCTGATTTCGGAACGTTTATTCCTACCCACATTGCATTGCACCAAAGATTGTGGGTCGACATCAATTGAAATACATCTCCATCTCCGTAAGATAGATATCGAAGGTTTCAATATTCCTCCTCATATTCCATTCCAAACACACGATCCCACAAAAGTTGAAGAAAGAGGAATTTTTGTATTTAGTCTATCTATCCATTCTCCCAGTGGCACATTCTCGTCTCGCATACTCAGGTTCCGTATAGCAAAAATGACACATCAACCCCTCGCCCACGGAGCACCGGGTCCAGAACCAAGCACGAAGGATAAAGTTTTGGAGACGGGGGCAGGTAGGTCGGTCATCTATCTTACCTACTCTTTACCCAGATCATCTATTTCCACGTTCACAAGAGAGGCTCGATCGGGAGCTGCTAGGATCGGGCACCTGGATTTTCCTTGTGTACATTTATTTCCACGAGTGCTTAATACGACTCGAAGAAAGAAATGACTAATGTGCTTTGAAGTTGCAAGTTTAACCTGGCTAACGATATGATGTGATGTGATGTGATAATATAGGTATGACGCAGGATTTTGCACCGGTCAAGGCGATTTGTGCTCATCTCAATGCTTTTCATGTTTATGTGGATGAGCCGGTGAGGAGCGTGGAGGCTAATCATTATTGTACGCATTTGAGTGCTGATGTGAGTGAGGGGTTTTTTTTGTTGGGTTTCTTAGGGGATGGAAGGGAAAAGGAAAAAGGAAAAGGAGGGCCAAAAATCATAATTATGAAATACATGACGAAGTCGTCATCAATATCTCTCTCTCATCCCTGGTAAAGCCACACCAATGGATCATATCCATACATCCACGGATGACAAGAACAAACCGAGCATGAAAATCACATCTACTATATAAACCCGCATGCATGACGTGCTGATGCTGATGCTCCATCATACAAGCGATAGGTGCGCCAATGTCTCATCTACGATGCGCCCACGCCTCCCGCGAGGTTGATTGGCGTCGAGTATATGATTACGCGAGGATTGTATGAGAAATTGGGGGAGGAGGAGAGGAAACTTTGGCATTCGCATGGTTATGAGGTTGGTGCTGTTTGTTTTTTGGTTTCTTCTTTGTGGGGTTCTTGGTGGAGTTTGAACTTGAAATTTGAAATTCACATTCACGTTCACATTCATAACAATACCCCCTCCCCCTCCCTACACCTAGGAATGGAAACCACAAAGCCATCGAGCTATTCACATTCACATTTATATTGATATAAATACACATTAAATTCTAACACAACACACTCGCCCCAGGTAAAATCCGGCATGCTCATCCTCCCGAACCCGAGCATGCCAGACGCGGCGTGGACGCGGGCAGAAACGCAAGAAATGCAGGAGATCGCGGGGTTGTATGGGAAAACGTTTCACTTCTGGCAGACGGATCGCGGGGATGAGTTGCCGGTGGGGAGGCCGGTTTTGATGGGCAGTTTTACGGGGGAGGAGCAGGTGTGTGTTTTTTTGGGAGTGGGAGGGAGAAGTGCAGGGAAATCAATCATCACTAATCACTAATCACTAGGAGTGGTTGACTAATTTTTTCCATCATTAACATCTAGGTACCATGGGAAAAAGTCAAAGAACGAGACGAGAGATTTGGGATCGATACGGAGAAGAAGAGGGATGCGAGGAAGGGAATCGAGAGCGTGGATGTTCATGAGGATGCTGATCAGGCGTGGAAGAAATGAGGACGGGAAGCTGATGGGCCTGTTCATTTCTTATGGATTACTTGCTTGCTTGAAGTGAAGTGGTGTCGTGGGTAACCTTACTTTGCTTTGCTTTGCTTACCTTACCTTGCCTTACATTCTTTGATGGATCGATTCGCATGATCGAAGGGGATCCCGTACTTTTTCTCCCGGACACTAATTTTGAACGTGGGGATAGAAGGGAACGGATAGGAAAGGAAGGAAAAATGTCAAGTCGGTTTTAAATTAATACTATACCTAGGTAATGTGCACGACATGTCTTCGATACAATTGCCTACCTATGCAACACCCCTTCTGCCTGCAATTAACATCATGACTCTTTTTCGGTGAAAAGAATATCCAGTCAAATAAATACCTATACAGGGAACTAAGAATCCCGTGATATGTTAAAGAAGAGACAGACTGCATCCCATCCCCTATCCACCCCGCTCGCCCCCCTCCCCCGCTTCATCCACCTCAATTTCCATCCCCCCCCAAAAGAAACCACACAATCTCCATCCCCTTTTTTTCCCCAAACCCCCCCCCCCCCCAAAAAATGCAAAAAATGCAAAAAATGCAAAAAAAGCAAAAAAAGCCAAAAAGATATATACCCCGAGTGTTCTCGAGATCGCAGAATGCGGCTTCTGTGGATCGAACACAGTGCCTCCAGATTAGTGAACCGAAGTGGACTTCAGTCTGGCGCTCTCCCAAGTGAGCTAAAGCCGCTTGAGTGTTTGTGTTGTTTGTTGAAGGAGGGGGGATAATTCCTCATTATATAGTTTGGCGTTAGCTTCCCACTAACCGTCGTCTTCCTCTTGGTAGAGTCCACTTGGTGCAAAAATTTATTCATCGAAAATTGGAAATGGCCCGGGAGATTAAGTGGGGAGTGGATAGGTAGGTAATTAGTAAGGTGGGAATGGAGGGTCTTTGGGAGAAAGAGATTCAGAAAAGGTTGTGTTTTGACATTTAGGATCGACAAGTACATACGACCATAGACTGAAGAAAATTGGGCATCCCGTCCGCTCTGCCATACACAAGCTTCAGATCGGTAGATTAGTAGTTGGGTGGGTGACCACCAGCGAATCCCTACTGTTGTATGTGTTTTTCCTTTTGCATCTTTCTTTTTTTGATGGATGGGTAGAGGGATAGATTTTGTTGGTTGAAGAGTGACTGACTTGTGAAGTCTGCAGGTGTGGTCTGATATTGCCGAAACGAGATTCGGAAAAACTTTCTATTGAGCCTCCGATCTTATCTGATCCTCTTCCCACCTCTTTTGATCTTCCGAGGGCCAGTAGATATGGTCCATCTTAGGTATCATCTCGCCATCTAGGTAACATTTTCCTTATGAATGTTTGGTACCTGGCCCGGCTACCTAGGTATGCAGGTGCCCTACATTTTGTTATAGTATACAAATTTGTTCAACTGTTAACTAATGAATAATCATTATCGATGTACATTGAACGTTAAAAAGGAGCTGAGCACCCGACATTCTCATTGTGTATCAGGAAACCAGGAAAAGGAAAGCTCTCTCTACTCGATCATACATACGTACATAATCCCAGACCTCTCTCTTACAACACAACCTCACAACTAACGTTGGAAGCTTTTACATCTTCAAATCGAAGCCATTCAATTAGCTCTCTTCCAAGTTCCCACCATAAAAGGTAGGTAACCCCATCAAAAGCCCTCCACCCCACCCAACCCAACCCAACCCACCACTTAAAATCCCGCAAACCTCTCGCTTACCCCACCGGCCCCCAAAGCTCCACCTTATCCCCACATTCTTTTTTTAAGAAAAAAGAAGTAAAAAAAATCAAAAAAATCATAAGTGACCTACGCAGGGATCGAACCTGCAATCTCTTGATATCAATCCAAGGAATCGGAAATCCTTTGAATCGTAGTCAAGCGCCTTGCCATTGGGCCAGCAGGCCATATTGTTTTATGCATGTAAGTGCGAGATTTAGAAATATATAGCAGAGAATCTGTATAATTACGGTTTACTTGATTTCGTTGCGGGAGAACTTGTCTAATTTAGATAGATAGGTATTAATTATCACGAGATATGGATACAATCAATGGATGACTTTCCAAACAGCAAATTCAGATGAGTTTTCAAATACCCACCCACCAGTTTTTGATTCCCATATGGAAATTCTAACTCGATGGATAAAATGATGAGAATATTAAATAAAATCTGTTACATAGGTATATATATATATCTGCAGGTGCCAGCTGCCCAGGTGGAGGTGTACATAATGAAAGCCTGAGGCATCCACCTTCAAAACCTACCTAGAGCCCCGGCCGCCTGCAGGCCACTCACACCAGATCGAGCACCTAGCAGAAAAGGTTCCTCGCCTTTACGAACCTCTTCCAAGGTTTTTTCCAGTGATTGTACCTAGGTAGGTAGTAGCAGATATGTTACCTATGCAGAGCGTACCTAGGTAGTATACAGGAAAGAGCCAGCGCTCATGGCATCAATAGCATCGCATTAGATATTACGATGAAGATACCTAGCTTTTACCACATTCATATTCTGTACCTATAATAGTGCCCAGATGATATTAGATTTTAGCAAATACGATTATCAAGTCATGGATCACTTCGTTTTGGTCCCTGTAGCATTTGAATAATGAATGTATCAACTATATCGACTATATCGACTATATCAAATCCATCAAACAAACTATACATACCCATTAAATCCATGACCCGAATAAAATAATCCAACTAACCCAAGATAAAACCAATAAGATATTTGCCACTATCTATATCATTTACAAATCACAATAAACATACCTAGATAGCTAGAACGTTATATACCTATGTATCAAGTTATATATACTGTAACAACAATCTAAATGATTGAAACCAAACTAAGCTATCGATCAAGAGATTTGCAATTTCTCTAACCAATAATTCCATCCCATCCCATTCCATTCCATTCCACTCCATACATCCAAGTACAGTCAGTAGTAGTAGTAGTAAACCAACCCAGCAAAAAGTGAGCTCGAAAAGTACCAAAGGTGCAACGGCAAGGTGGACTCGATATACGAATAAATTCTATCATTGTAGCATACAGTTCGAGTCTTTTTCAGGGATGAGGATACCTCCGAATGAATGGGGTTTACTTACTTATTTGATAGTACAGGATGATCAGGTAGTCTCACTCTCATTTCACTTCACTTCAATCACATCAAGTCAGCGCGTAACTGCAGCTATGTAGGTAGTAGACATTGTATCCTATTCCATCCCATTTCCCTAAAAAAAAAAGTGCACAACCACACCATCCGTATACAGTCGGCCTGGTGCTGAAAAAGAGGACTGCGCTATTCGCATGCTGCTGGGTTATCTCGAAAGAAGAAAGAAGGAAAAAAAAACGATTTACAAAACATATGATCTTAGGTACAGACGGAAAAAGAAAAATTGACTGCTAAAGTCCAGGTGATGGTATCTCAACTTGCGCTCTCTCTCTTTCTTTTCTTTGCAACGCAATGCAATGCAACATAAATACACTAATGCTCAATGAGAGCCTCCATACGTCATAAAATCCTGCGTGAATTTTTCCTTCTAAAATAAATAAATGAAATAATAACTCAAAGAATGTGGGAGAGGTATATTAACAAATAATGACTATCAAAGTCGTGTTTGAGAATTGAAAAAGGAAAGATTTTCTTCAAGGGAGTGACTATTGTATTTATTATTGTCCATAGGCTGCCCAGTGTGAATGAGCTTCTCGTAGAACTGGTTTTGGGTTAGTATATATGATCAAAGGAAACAATAGAGGTTGACGTACCGCTTAAAGTGTGTCCCTGGCTAGCTCGACTCTCGCATGCTATTTGCAACTCGCCACCTTCTAAGAGGGCTAGCACAACACTGTTGGGCAATTCTTGCATATCAACATCTGGAATTTCAGGAGATCTGAATTCACCAAGGTGAAACATTCGCGTTGCTCCTTTATCGTTTCCACCAGCCGTGATAATAAGGAGTCCTTGAGAATCGACTACCATTGACCTACGCTTCCACAAAAGACTATCGGGAAATTGAACGTTTACATCGCCAAGATCATTAGCAATTGTAGGTGAAGCTGATGAGGGCTCGGATGGAACGGACGAAGCACCAGAATCAGGGAAGACCGGTGGTTCCGATTCTTCGCGGACTGTAGGTGAAATAGCATGTGCAATAGCTTTACGACTCGAAGATAGAGAGGACGACATGCGCTTCATCATACGACTTGTTCGACTAGACTTTTTGTCGGATTTGTCATCATTTCCGGGAGATGTTGCGCTGGCTGTTGGTGGAGGAGAAAATTCAGAACATTCAATGCTGCGCCGACTACTGATGGAAGATGGGCGTGATTTCCGGTCAGGAGATATAATATGATTGGAAGGAGGCCCTGATGGCGACATGACGGCAGGAGAAGATGCGGTAGGTTCGATAATACTAGAACGCCGACGTTCAGAAATTGAAGAACGACGGTCGTTGATGAGGTCTTTGACCATTGCAATAGATGATCGCCTTTCATTATTAGTAGTTGCGGTAGTTTTGGATGACGTTGATAAACGCCTCTCGGGTAAAGTCTCTTTCGGAGAACCAGAAACCGCTTTCTGGTGATCTATGATTAGTGGTGATTCTTTCAATTCCAGAGGTTTGTAATCAGAAGGATCCTTGCCAACTTCTGGCTTTTGGGGAAACGGTTGATTAGGATCTCTGATAATGCGCGCAGTGACCTGAACCGATTCAGATCGAGACAGAGTTGTCTTGAGCTCGGAAGCGGGAGTAGGCTTCAACACAGCTAGTCTTTGCTGAACAGAGTTTGACCTATCACGCCCTTTAGAGATTTCTGGAGATGTATCTCGTGGTGTATTAGGAGTTGGCGGATTCTTATTCAAAGAATTTGTACGTTCAGCGATGGAAGGAGTTCTCGATGGAACGAGAACAGTACTTCTTCGAACAGAAAAAAATGCAGGTGATGCAGTCGGACTTGGTCCCAGTGTGGATGGAGCTGCAGAAGATTCGGGTGCTAGATTTTGAAACTTCTCGAATGCTTTGATCCTGTTCGCAACGCCAGATCCTACACTGATCTTTTTAGAAGTAACAGGTGCGGCAGCAGGATGCATGCTTAAACGATTTAAAAAGTTTGCAGAAGCTGATACAGGCCGAGAAACAGGCCGTTCGCCACCGGGTCGTGCAGTAAGGGGTGGGGGGTTGGAATTGACTGATTGTAATGGACTCGAGACAGTCCGTGAAATTTTGACTTCATTTTGCGTCGGTTGAGAAAACAAAGGACTGATTGGAGATTTAGCTACCGACATGGGCTTAGCATCTTGAATTACGGCAGATTGCAGCTCATCCATAAGCTCGTCATCCGAGGAGAAGTTGTCTTCCGAATTGGGACAACTCTTATCAAAACTAGTCCGAATTGGTTCAATGCTGCGGATTTTCTTTTTTTGTGATAAATTATACCCAGGATCGAAAGGGCTTGTCATTAAAGTCTTCTCCGATGTCTTGAAGATAGGCTCACTAGCAGAAGTCTGCAAAGGTTCCGTAGGGCCAGATTCAGTATCTGTAGCGGCTCTCAAATCTTGAGCACTCGACATCGTGATGGGAACTTCTGGAGATTTCGGTTTGTCCTCAAACATATCTCCAGAATTGCTAGATTGCTTTTCTTCTTCTTCTTTGTGAGAGACTTGCTCAGCACCATCAAATTCCTTAGTTCTTGTGCTTTCACCGTCTAGCTCTGGCGTTTGCAATGATATCTTAACAACTGGTTCGGTTTTGGTGTTTTCCAAAGAATTAACAGGGGAGGTTTCTTGAGCTATATTATCTTCAGTCACTGCCTTATTAGATAGCACTTCTTGTATAGTTTGATCCGTTGACTCCGAAATAGAGGATGCTCTTGTCGATTCTGCCTTTTCTGAAGGTCCAACTGGGGATACTGGATAGGAATCGGTTCTTGTAGCATCTGAATCGTCCGTTTTCAGAGCAGAGCTGGTATCAAGCGCGATCGCGGATGTGTCTGCTTTGGCCATATCAGTCAGCAAAGCTAAGGTATCTTGAATTTCCTGTGGAGCGCCTTGTGATATCCGTGGGCTCAACACGGAAGGGATCTCGAGATTTCTAGTGGATGTTGAGGACTTTGGAGAAGGGGGCGACGTTTGAGCAGGAGCAGATGCACTCATTTGCCTCTTCCGCATTTCCATAGCCTTCATAAGTCTTGCCTTCTCCGGTGTAATTGTTGGGACCTTTGCATTGGGAGCGGTTGATCTTGTTGACAATGTAGATCGAACCGAGGCCCCAGAGCTGGTGTTGGGTCGCCCACCACTTGTATGAGGACGAGAAGGGAAAAACGTGGGTAGAGTTCCATTTTCAGGAATAGGAGGTGGTGACAAACTCATACTGGGAGGCTCTCCAGAATCCTGCGAGTTCAAACTCGCTCGCCCCTTTTTCGATCCCCCCTTTGTAGATATTTTCAACCCCTGTGGAAGCGTCGACACTGGACGGTATGCAGAGGTTCCTCCAGATGTAGGAGTTTTGCCTGCATCGAGAGAAGGGCGAGGTCCAAGTCTGACTTTAGGTTTGCTGTTAAACTCGTGGGATGCGAGACTGTACAAATCAGGTCGTGCAGACTGGGATGATTTCCGAGATACTTCGTCGATTGTTGTGATAGGCGACGATGATCCGAACTCAACTTCACGCGGCTCCCTTGGGGGAGGCGGAGAAGTATCAAGATCGAAGCTCAAAGATGCTTTCGAACGTGGTGGAGGAGGAGATGTTTCGAGACTGTTGTCCGTTTCTGCAACCATAGAAGAGAAAGTAAATGAACTCGGTAGATCCGTCGGTAGGGTGGTCGGATCATCTGTTGGCTGGGTCCCCGGTATTGAGGTAATAATTGGTGCAGTAGGGGGGTGCTCCTCCTGAACTGTGGATTGCC